TCTGGTTTTGGTCAACAAATTGAAATTGAACTTGTATTTTTCTTGTCCTGCATTTTTGAAGACGCAGACATTTTTAGGAGGGATTTTTCCAAGTGAAAAATGATTTATTTCTTTATTATTATTACTATTTATTTTTTATTTTTTATTTTAATTTTTGGGAGATATGTGATTAAAAAGTAGGAAAGTTATGAATTTCACATGTGTGATTGAAAATGATTTTAAGAAAAAATCATTGTTTTGATGTTTGTATTTCTGATAATTTGTGTTCTACAAATGAAATAAATAGTAAACAAATATTTGTTAAAGCATATCTTTTAAAGGAATTATTTAAACAAACAACAGGAAAAAGTTCCGATAGAGGAAGTGTTCGAGCAGCTGAAATGCTCCCGGGAAGGGTTAAGTTCTGATGAAGGAGCTAACAGGATTCAAATTTTTGGCCCCAACAAATTGGAAGAAAAGAAGGTTTTTCTCTTCTCTTTATAACCACTGAGTTTTACCAGTTTAACACATTTAAATTACAATGCTTGATAATGGTTTTTGTCCTTGAAACACAGGAAAGCAAAATACTTAAGTTCCTTGGGTTTATGTGGAATCCGCTTTCATGGGTCATGGAATCTGCAGCTATAATGGCAATTGCGCTGGCTAATGGAGGCGGAAAGCCCCCGGATTGGCAAGATTTTGTTGGTATTATTTGCTTGCTCGTTATCAACTCGACTATCAGTTTCATTGAAGAGAACAATGCTGGAAATGCTGCTGCAGCTCTCATGGCCGGACTTGCCCCTAAAACAAAGGTATCAATTTTTTTACCTTGCCTGCCTAAATGCAAAAGAAAGGGTGCAAAATAAAGTAAATTCGTTAAATTCTCATAGTTGATAACTGCTTGGCAATAGGTCCTTAGAGATGGTCGATGGAATGAGCAGGAAGCGGCCATTTTGGTTCCTGGAGACATTATAAGCATTAAACTGGGAGATGTAATTCCGGCTGATGCTCGTCTTCTTGAAGGTGATCCATTAAAGGTTGATCAATCTGCACTTACAGGAGAGTCGCTTCCTGTCACCAAGAATCCTTATGATGAAATTTTCTCTGGTTCAACATGCAAACAAGGTGAGATTGAAGCTGTGGTTATTGCTACTGGTGTTCATACTTTTTTTGGGAAGGCAGCGCATCTTGTGGACAGCACAAACCAGGTTGGACACTTCCAGAAAGTGCTCACTGCAATTGGAAACTTCTGCATTTGCTCCATCGCGGTTGGAATGCTAGCCGAGATTATTGTCATGTACCCGATTCAGCATAGGCAGTACAGGAAGGGGATTGACAATCTCCTCGTTCTGTTAATCGGAGGCATTCCTATTGCCATGCCCACTGTCTTGTCTGTCACAATGGCTATTGGATCTCACAGGCTATCACAACAAGGTGCCATCACCAAGAGAATGACTGCCATCGAGGAACTGGCTGGCATGGATGTCCTGTGCAGTGACAAGACTGGAACTTTAACTCTCAACAAGTTGACTGTTGATAAAAGTTTGATTGAGGTCTTTACAAAGGGTGTAGACCCTGATCACGTTCTGCTTCTAGCTGCAAGGGCTTCTAGAACCGAGAATCAAGATGCAATTGATGCTGCCATTGTCGGTACCCTTGCTGATCCAAAGGAGGTATATGTGATTTTTTCTTTCTTTCTAATTTTATAGTTATTACACATTAAAAACTAAATAAAGTTCAATGGCTCATGGTACACGTCCTCGATTTTTAGGCTCGAGCTGGTATCAGGGAGGTCCATTTTTTCCCCTTCAACCCGGTGGACAAGAGGACTGCCTTGACTTACATTGATTCCAATGGTGACTGGCATCGATCTAGCAAGGGAGCCCCAGAACAGGTACCCTTTCTGATTCTCAATTTCTTGGCTTCCTGCACGGTGAATTTACTAGGCAAATATACTAATTTAATTTCTTTTCTTTTCTTTTTCTTTTTTGGCTCCCCTTCTGCAATCAGATTTTGACTCTCTGCAATTGCAAGGAAGACCTCAAGAAAAAGGTTCACGGTGTTATTGAAAAATTTGCTGAGCGCGGGCTTCGGTCATTGGCAGTTGCAAGACAGGTTTGCAACGAAAAAATTGCGGCAATTTAGATATTTTCCCAATTGAAAAATTGTTCCAGTTACTGAGGCTAATGTGATAATTCCAGGAAGTGCCAGAGAAAACAAAGGACAGCCCTGGTCGTCCATGGCAGTTTGTTGGATTGTTATCCCTGTTTGATCCTCCCAGGCATGACAGTGCCGAGACCATCCGCCGGGCCCTCCATCTTGGTGTTAATGTGAAAATGATTACAGGTAATTCCATATTTATCATTCTGAAAGGCAATCTTATAGCTATTTAATATGTTCTTCTAGTCTGTTGCTTATTCATATTAATGTGTCAATCACAGGTGATCAACTCGCCATTGCTAAAGAGACAGGGCGCAGGCTTGGTATGGGATCAAATATGTACCCCTCTGCTTCATTGCTTGGGCAACATAAAGATGAATCTATTGCCGGTCTTCCGGTTGAGGAGTTGATTGAGAAAGCAGATGGTTTTGCTGGGGTCTTTCCAGGTGGGTTTTTCAGTCTGTGAACCCTTCATATTACATTGCATTATGAAAATTTCTAAACCTTCTAACAGTGGAAAGGGAAATTTACTCTCTCATTGGCATGCAGAACACAAATATGAAATAGTGAAGAAGTTGCAGGAGAGCAAGCACATTGTTGGAATGACAGGAGATGGGGTCAATGATGCACCAGCTTTAAAGAAGGCAGATATTGGAATTGCAGTTGATGATGCTACAGATGCAGCAAGGGGTGCTTCTGACATTGTACTCACTGAACCTGGGTTGAGCGTTATCATCAGTGCAGTGTTGACCAGTCGAGCTATTTTCCAAAGAATGAAGAACTACACAGTTAACCATTTCTTTTCTCGTTTTCTCCTTTTACAGTTCCACATTTTCGACTGAAACAGGTATAAATTATTTACGTTTTTGTTTTGCCAGATATATGCAGTCTCCATCACAATCCGTATTGTTGTAAGTTCATTACTGCATTTGAACTAAGAAAGTCGCTATAACTCCTGAGATGAATGGACTTCTTATGCCCTCTACTTCCTGTTTTGCAGTTCGGTTTCTTGCTTATTGCTTTGATTTGGAAGTTCGATTTCTCTCCGTTCATGGTTTTGATCATTGCCATCCTCAATGATGGTAAAATTTCGCTTTCTCATTTGAATATTTTGGGTGGCACGTGGAAACTGATGTATCAATAATTTTGTTCTATTTAGGAACAATTATGACAATCTCAAAGGATAGAGTAAAGCCATCTCCATTGCCCGATAGTTGGAAACTGAAAGAGATATTTGCCACTGGCATAGTACTTGGAGGTTACCTTGCACTGATGACTGTTTTATTCTTCTGGATTATGAAGGAAACTGACTTCTTCTCGGTGAGGACTAGTAATGTCTCTTTATTTATGCTTTTACATTATAAATAGTTTCAATGTGAAGTAAAAATAAAGTAACTGCCTGCAGGATAAATTTGGAGTAAAATCAATTAGAAATCACGAACACGAAATGATGGCTGCTCTTTATCTACAAGTGAGTATTATCAGCCAGGCTCTGATTTTTGTGACCAGATCACGAAGCTGGTCGTTCATGGAACGCCCCGGATTAATGTTAATGACTGCTTTTGTCATCGCACAGCTGGTAATTCTTCCATGCCTATTGTTTACCATTTCAAAAAACTTAAAAAACTTCTCTAGGTCTTCTGCCTGAAACTTCTTCTCCCTTACGCCTTTATCAAAGTTAAATTTCTTCATCTATTTGTAAAGAGAATAAATCCTGAATTTAGATAGAACATCAAGTTCTAAGATGCTGAAACTGGTTTAATGATGTAGGTTGCAACTTTAGTAGCCGTGTATGCCAACTGGGGGTTTGCCAAAATCAAAGGATGTGGTTGGGGATGGGCTGGTGTTATCTGGCTTTACAGTATTGTATTCTATTTGCCGCTAGACCTAATAAAGTTTGCCATTCGTTACATCTTAAGCGGAAAAGCCTGGCAGAATTTGTACGAGAATAAGGTATAACTCTGTCTAACAAAAAGCCTAGGTCAGGTCCTTCCCTTATCATGTTCATTGCACTAATCATGTGTTTTTACTTGGAATAGACTGCTTTCACCACCAAGAAGGACTATGGCAAAGAGGAGAGAGAAGCACAGTGGGCTCATGCACAGAGGACACTCCATGGCCTTCAAGCACCAGAGACAACTAATCTTTTCAACGAGAAGAATAGTTATAGAGAACTTTCTGAAATCGCAGAGCAGGCAAAGAGGAGAGCTGAGATTGCAAGGTATGAATTGGCTTATTCGATTAGTCCCTTTTACAAGTACTAGTTTTGCTGTGATCATTGTGAATTATAACATTTGTCTTTTTCCGTTTTTATCATTTTAGGCTTCGGGAGCTGCACACGCTCAAGGGTCATGTCGAGTCAGTCGTGAAGCTGAAAGGCCTCGACATTGAGACAATCCAGCAGCACTACACCGTGTGACGAGGTCAAATATGTTCAATATGAGAGGAACTAGAGCATGATGCAAAAGTATGAAACAGAGAACCGCAAGAGTAACTTACATAAATCCATCTAGACGAAGGGAGGCAATAAGGAGCCATAATTCCCGATCTATCTTTTCTTGTTTTATGATGTACTGAACGAGTGGGTTTTCTGATGTATTTGTAGGTGCCCACAGGAAAGGGGTGTCTGGTCTTTGATTATAAGTGCACAATGACATCTCATGTAAAACAGTTTTTTCTACTAAAAATCTGGTCTTTCACTTGTTTGCCATTTTGCCTTAATCCTTGAATCATCTTCCTGTTATATTATTGTTGCGATCTTTGGTTACTGACTATCTGTTTCTGATATTTTCACTCAAAAGGAATCAAGATCTGATTCCCCCATGAATATAATGCATTGAAGATTTAGTCACACTGCAATATTGGTCCCACCTTCTGAAGTGTATTCTGCACAGACAGGATGACATTGAATAAAGGATTGTGCACATATTTTTGTCTAAAGAACTGAATTATACCGCAGTGTCAAGGATTTAATCTCGTTTACAAAAATATACATAATTTCATTTGACATTTGTCTAGACGAGTTTTCTCTAGACTAGTATCCATCATCATCATCTTCATCTCTTGATCCACGTAATCGCCTAACAACAGCAGAAACTGCACCAAGGAATAAAAATAAAGCAAAGAGTTCAACTCCACCTCCAATGCCAACAGCAACACTGGGACCTGGCGCAAAGAATGAAAAGGGAGACCAACCCCATCCACCATAAAATGGCACACCAAAACCATATCCGTATCCACCAACTAAAGGAGGAGCAACTGGTGGGTTGACATACACATTGGTTCTACAAGAAAATGCAATTTGAACTTGTCAAAAAAAAAGTAAGGGTTTCCTAAGCCATTGGTAATCAAGCTTTTCCAGACAGTATCCATGAGAAGTCGCATAAAGAAGAAATAAGACATGAGTTTACAGCGTCTTTAAACCTAGAAAAATTCACTTCTTGAATCTAGACTTTCAGATGTACATCTGTGACTAGAAATTTGTCCACGAAAAAGGACGAAAGCCCTGAAATGGTGCTAAGTGAACAAGGTGAATTCTCCGGCTCAACTTGATGCAAGGTGAAAACATATAACTGTGATAGAACACCACTTTCAGATAGAATTAGCATAGACACTGAAGTTAAAATTGCCTATTGCATTTGTTTATTCGGACGAAACAATCTCAAACTAGTAGTCTTCAATGGGTGATTTCTCCATGATTCCAAAAATATAATTTCAGAACCAATTACCCTGCATCATTAGAATTTTCTGATGATATCACCCAGAAGACTTCATTTCCATTGAAAATTGCCAAATAAGCGAGAGTCATATTTCTTGCTAAGATGGAACAATATTTGAACCTGGAAATCTTACAGTCCCACATTTCGAACATAATGTTGCTTTGGTAAAACAAATGAAAAGGAAGAAAAGCTAGCAAGCGATAACATATTAATGACTACCTAATTCTATCATCATGATCCAAATCTCTATTGTGGGATTGTGCATTATCTGTTAGTGCGCGGGTATGGATATTGACAATGGAGCTATAGCTAGAAATTTAACCACGTATCAACTGAAATTTAAGAGGTTCTGCTTATAATTCTGGAAATAGGGATCTCAAAATACTTTTGCAAGCACATGGAAACTACTAAAGTCTAATTCATTATCTGCAGCATAAACAAACTTTAAATTCAACAAAGTTGTCCCCTTAAAAATATTTCTCTACAAATTGTTTATCAATCTTTCCTCAAATCGTTTATCAATCTTTCCTCAAATATAGTTATAAACTTCCGATACAAATGCATTAATTTTGATTAAAATCCGGAGAAATACCTTGAATTGTTGATTCTTGGGCCAGAGGAGCGCGGCGCAGATGACCGGAAGGCCTGGCCGCCGACCCGACCACCAGTTTTGGCGGCTGAAGCAGGATCAACTGAGCCCAGTGTCAACACCCCAGCAGCCAATGCAACCAGTGCCAATTTTCCAAACTGGTTTTCACTTTTACTGCCATATTTCATTTCCACAAACCAAATTTTAACTACAAACCCAAAAAAAACATAAAGGAGAAAAATGAAAAATCAACAATTTAAGCAGGATTTAGAATCTTTACATACCTAGGAAAATCTTCCTCGCTGTGTTTGGATGAGATGAGAACAGTTTTTACAGGGATTGTATTGATTTTTCTCTGGGGTTTGAAGTTTGATGTAAGACGGTTTGCTAGGAAGCTACTCTCGAGTATGGGAACCGACATTTTTTGTGAAGTATAAGATTTGGATTAAGGCTCTCGTGATTAGGCAAGATTGAAGAATTCCTACGGAGGCCTACTGTTTAAAGTTTATTTGATATTTATTGTTGGTGAATACAGGGGATGATCCAACTGATGATGGAGAAGAGGCCACGTGTATATATGGCAGTGGTGAATTGGAAGTTTCAAGAAATCTTGATTTTTGTGTAGTAACACTTGTGACTTTCCAAATTTGATCTTTGAATTCTTAGAGGCTATTAGAGATTTGTTTAATCCTATTTTATGAATTACATGTTTAGGAAAAAAAATACTCAAACTCAACTTATTGGCAAAACGTTGCTAAAACTAGGGCTATCAATTGATTTACTTTTAATCCGACTTCGATATAATTAATGGGAGATGAATATAGGATCTCAGTTCGATAATTCGATCAAAATTCGAATTCAATAATCCATTAACTAAATGAAGTAAATATGGATATAGGTAAATTCAATTCAATAACAACCCAATTCGATTTATTATAATAATATAATTATTTAATATATTATTTTCCATTTTGAAACTTATATTATATTTTACACATAAATTTTAAATAATAAATAATATTAAATAATAGTATAATATTGCTAATTGAAATATTTGAAGAGATTTAATTTTTTATTAATTAAAATAAGATAAAAAATAGAAAATAATTTATTTTATAAATTAAACTATCAAAGAAGTCAACAATTGGAGTTACTTTCATTAATCCAACTTCTAATTTCCCATATTGGATATTCATTAGAATATTATAAAATTTACAATCTACAAAATTGGTGGATCAAGAATTGGGTAAAAAATTATCTGGATCTTTTAATTATAGGGCTTAGAATTTGATTAATATAAATTTTTTAGAGAAAATTACCTCAAAACCTACATTCAAAGACTAATTTTCATAAATAAGAGGATTTAGTTTTAAATTCATAAATCATGTGCTAATTAATAATTATTAATTTAACTAATACAGATTTATTATAACAAAACCATCTACCTCACCCCTCCAAATTTCGATCCTACCCCAGCACCCATCCCCAAATTCACTTATCGCTTTCTCTACACAATCTCTACCCTTCTCTTTGGACGACGCATTACCATCAGAGGCACCGCGAGACAAGCAGCGAGCGTTGGAATCACGACGTCACTCTCTTAACAACGTACCACCGCGGGAGGTATCGCGAGATGCGACGAACAATAGAATCATGACTCCATTGTAGCGACGTCGATCTAGGAGAGCAACGTTTCCCACCATTGCGTTGCTCATGGCATCGCAGCTGCTGTAAGTAGCAACGAGCGTTGTCAACTAATCTGCAGTGTCGCCTTGTGTTTGATGTGGTTTTTGTTGATGAGCAATCTTCATATCCGTCGTAAAGTAGCTCGGCAAGTGGTAGCAGGAATGTGGATAATGGTGTGAGTGATACGAGACCCGGTGTGGTTGCCCAAGCATTGTGTCATTTTCATGTTTAACATCATGGATTTGTCAATCGTTGGTACCTTAGATCTATGTTTACAACCATGATTTGAGACCAGAAAATTTGTTGTTAGATGAGAATAGAATTCTAAAGGTGTCAGATTTTGGGCTGAGCACACTGACTGCAACGGTGAAGGGTATTTTAAGAAGATTGTTGTGTATCTTGGTATTTTTTGTTACGCTGAAGGATGAAGGAAAGAATGATTTGGGCTTTTTTTGGGATGAACCAAGCGTATTTTTTTATCTAGCTGCAAAGATGAAGTAGGGGTAATTTTTTATCAGATCTGTTGTTTAGCTAAAGTTTTGGAGACCTTCTGGCACTGGGCAGGCGTTAGCCTCCATACATGATCTTACAACATTGCGGAGACCTGTGTTGGTTGTTAATGGTAGTATAAGCGACGATGGTTCTATTGCTTGTGGTGTATGTGCTTGTGACGAGGTGGTATGCATTTAGTTTTTGCCATTGTTGGGAATAGTAGTGGTGGTGCCGACGTGGTGGAGGTGACGACAATCAAGTGTGACCAAATCTATTTTTAGTATGATTATTTGTGATTAGATCTATGTTTGTTGTTACATGCAATTATAAATTAGACTGACTTAATCACAGACGGACACATTGAAAGTAAATTTGGACACAGTTAGTGTTAGATAACAATGTTTAGTGAAGGTAGTATTTATAATCGTGAATTTAGGTTGAAGGTGGTAGTAGTGGTGCATTTGAGATGATGGTGAGCCCTTCCTCGAGCAGATTCTTCCTTTTGTTCCCCAGCCTACGAGGTTTTCCAACTATTGTCCCCCTCCCAAGGACAGGTTCTGTATCAATGGAATCTCATCCTCCATATATAACGAATTGGTGTGATGTATTCATATTATAATAAATGAACAGTAAGAACTAATATTCTTATTAAGACTAGAACTCATATCAAAGAAAATAGATTTATGGAAAATGCAATTATCTCCAAGAACAAAATGTCTGTTATACTTAATATTTTTAGTTTGATTTGTATTTTTCTTAATTCTGCCCTTTATTCGAGTAGTTTTTCTTCGGTAAATTGCCATAATCATTATGTAGGAGAGGTGACAAAGTGGTTCAAAGCGTAGCATTGAAATTGCTATGTAGGTAGTCTATTTTCTATTAATAACTTTGGGAATCCGATAAAGATTATGACTTGGATCAAATCAATTTTTTTTTTTTGAATTTTCAAACGTGCAATTCCCTCGAAAGATCCTTTTTTGGCCCTCTTTAGCCCCATGTCTCTTATCATCAGAAGGTCTTCCTTCACTAGCAGGTTTGTTTCGAAAAACATTATTTATTTTGGTGTGAAAGACAGTCGGACCTATATTCCTTGTTTTTAATAGAATTTTTTACAAGCATTGTTTCTATCTACTATTATCTAAAAATAATTAAGAGCTGTAGACATGGAAGCATAAGAACTCAACAGGATTCCTTTCTTTTTTCGTTTGCTCTGGTTGTTGGTTGGGCAGGTTCGATGACTCTGTATGAGTTAGCAGTTTTTTTTTATCCTTTTGACCCTTGCGGATCTATTCAATCTATCAATAACCGAATTAGATATGGTGTATCATACATGATTTACCTTTTCTATTGATTCCTACGGTATTGGCACAGAGTTAGCCGATACTTATTTCCCAGATACCGTCATTGCTTATTCTTCAGGAAAAGAAGTTCACAACCTGTGGGCCTTCTACCTCCACCTGGCATTGCTCCGTCAAGCTTTCGCCCATTGCAGAAAATTCCCCACTACTACCTCCCGTACGAGTCTAGTAATTGGTGGATCATTGTGGTGCTGGTCAGGAGTGTGTTTATTGTGACTGATTGTGACTAAATTTGTGTCAATTGTAATCGATTGTAACTTGGTCACATACTATCACAATTAAGATCAATCCAATCACAAACAGTCACTCTTATTAATATTATTCATATGGTAAGGTGGGTGCGTTGGGTGGGGTGGGGATATTATTATTTGGGTTGGAATAATTACTCAATTAATTATATATTATGTATATTATTAATTAGAATTAACACCTAATTTTTGAAATAATTTTATGAGTTTGTTATTTTCGAAATGTAATTCTTATATGTAGGAGTTATGTATTGTTCTCAAATTTTTATCTTTCTAATTTTTTTCAATTTTGGATCTGGTTATTGGATCGGATATCCAATAACAAAGTAAATCGAATATGAATTTAACAATCCCGTACGAGTCTAGTAATTGGTGGATCATTGTGGTGCTGGTCAGGAGTGTGTTTATTGTGACTGATTGTGACTAAATTTGTGTCAATTGTAATCGATTGTAACTTGGTCACATACTATCACAATTAAGATCAATCCAATCACAAACAGTCACTCTTATTAATATTATTCATATGGTAAGGTGGGTGCGTTGGGTGGGGTGGGGATATTATTATTTGGGTTGGAATAATTACTCAATTAATTATATATTATGTATATTATTAATTAGAATTAACACCTAATTTTTGAAATAATTTTATGAGTTTGTTATTTTCGAAATGTAATTCTTATATGTAGGAGTTATGTATTGTTCTCAAATTTTTATCTTTCTAATTTTTTTCAATTTTGGATCTGGTTATTGGATCGGATATCCAATAACAAAGTAAATCGAATATGAATTTAACAATCAAATATTTGTTGGATTATCGAATCAAATTTGTACAGATCCGATCCATATCTGATTTATTTACAGCCCTAGCTAAAACTAGGTAGAAAGTAAACATGTTTAGAAAGTGTTTATAAATGATTAAGATTATAAATAAATAGTAATAAGAGATGAATAATTATGTAGTCATTGTGAATCTTTCGAAATATGTAGATAAAAATTTAAGTGTTGATGAACATTATCAACATGATTCCTGCATGGGCTAAACCAAATTTAATTACTTTTTACTCGCATATATTGAGTGTTATTTTTGTTTAAATCCTTTGAATGTCTATCATGCTCCAAGTTAAAAGTTACTTAACTAACTTAAACATATCTAGGAATTATTTATAAACGATTTTAATTTTAAATCGATTGAAGTAAGTGGTAAATATGTAAGTAGTACTTATAAATTTCACGAATGTGAATATAAAAAGTGATTTCAATCTTTATAAAAATGAGTCAAACATAGGCTAAGTGCTAGAGAAACTCAGGAATTCAAATAATTGGTTTCATAAGTCTAAAAAAAGCAAAAAATAAAAAATAAAAAAAATAAAAATGAAATTTAGTGTCAAAATGGTAAATTGCATAGAAAATTAAAAAAAAATCATTTAACGAAACAAAAGAAAGAGAAAATTGAAAAGAAGTCTAGATTTCCTAGATGGCTATATTTAGGTAGGGGTGGGATCGTAATCGGTCCAATTCTCTAAAATGTAAATTATTCTCGATTTTTTTAAATAAATATTTGATCTAGTTCGAATTCCGTCTAAAGAACCATGATTAAAATCGTATTATCTATTATTATGCTTGTTGCATTGCTCCAAGTGACACCTAATAGTTCTCACAACCTTAAGATAAGTCGAAAGTTCCAAAACTCGAATAGCTCACACTCTATTAAAGTATCAA